CCCTTGTTCTCATCCGAGAGTGCGACTGGCTGCTGCACCCCCACCACCACAGCTTGTGCTAGACATCACCCTGCTGGGGCCACATCGAATCAGCTCACGCTACACAATCACTGTCTGGATATGGATGTGATATGCGGCGCAGACCTCCCTTGGGGTTGTCCCGCAGATGAGTTGCAAATCGTCTCTAGCTCTCCGGAGCACAAGAATAGAGCCTGAGGCAAACTCCGCAGGTAGGACTTGTATATGCGCAAGAGACGTTTGCGGTTAAAGCTTCATCAGTGACCGCTTAACCCCACCACCACAGTTGCTCTTGGCCGACTAACGAACAGTAACACGATCTTTAGCTCTGGACTAGTCCTCGGCGCATGCATTGGTGCGGTCTCCTATTCGGCGGTTCCCTTTCAAGCGACCTGAAGTCTGGCAGCGGATCAAGCAATTTCCAGTGCCATGTGGCTGCCACCTCATTTTTGCGATTCCCCTAAAAGCGGTCGTTCACTGACAAGCGGACCGCCGAGCACGCTTGCAGGGTCTGTGCTTGTCCTTCACATGGATCCTGGATCCAATCCAGTTATACTCCACTCGCCGCCAGTCCATCTTGCTCTTTTCCTGGAAGTTCAGCCAGCCAGAATTGTGCTGCAGAAACAGCCACCGTGGAACTAGACGGCGCCAACCTGCACTTTTGCTTCTTCAGCAGATCGATCTGTCCAGCGGCTTGGGGCTGCCATGCTTTTGACACATTTTATGCGAATGATGCAAACTGGGCTCCTCAAACCTTCAAATGGAACTTTGGTGCCACCTGCGACCAGAGTGCGCCCTGCCGTTTTGCACAGTCAAACTTGGGCTGTAAGATCATCACCCACTATTCCGTGGCTGGTCCCTCAAGATCGGCCCCTGTTGATCGGCTGCTTTCGTCGAATATCACACCCATTTCACACATTCGTGGATCGAAGATAGACAATACGATACTCGGGCTTCAGCTTGGTCAGTCGCGTGGCCGAGCTCTCCATGCGATTCGCCATCAGACCAGACTTCAAGTAAGCGCTTTACGTCAAACCTGATCCCCTAAGGGCCAGGAGCAATTTCGGAGAGCTTGGCTTGTCACGAGGCAAACTAACGTGCCCGGGGTTTTCAGATGGGGACCTGTGGGCACTTGGTGAGCAGCAACTCCAGGGGATAACCAATGGTGGCGCTTCCTACGCGAACCGCTATACCGCTTGCAATACTTTCAAAAGGTGCCCCTGCAGATCGCGTCCTCGACCTCTTTGCTGACACCCGCTTGCCGGGGTTTCTGGGGCTGCTCCGCTTTCAACAGGCTCGTTGGGCTGATAGTGCGCCATTGGTTTGCCCTCGTAGAGTCTTCCGAAGGAAACTCCCTGGTATTATGGTATATAATTTTCCGTCCCTATACAGCCTTACTGACGTTTCGAAGTTAGACAGACCTCAGACCCATTGGGTATCGCAGATTTTCAGCCTCCTACCCAACCTGGCCCAAAAATCTAGACCTCGCATCAAGCACCGTGTCGGAAATTGTATCCTCCGACCTACATGAATACGAGCACTGTCCTTTGCCCCCTGTCGATACATAGCTGAACCAGCATATGGAGTCACGGACCTGACGATCTGCTGACCGCTTCGCGTGCTGTTTGCCGATTCTTGATTCATTTTACGTGTTTGACTGGACCTTGAAAATCAATAGATCTCTGTTTGTCCGGACTAGGAGTGGAGTCTAAGCATTCATCAGGCCCTTTCGCCTCGACGCGCCCACAGGCTTCCAGGGCTGAGGCGGCTATCACTGGAGTTGTAATTTCGGCGTCTCTCTGCCAGAACTCAGAAACAATGGCATCAACGACGAGTACTTGGTGCATGTTTCGGGAATCTGCAGGTGGCATCACGAACAGCAACTCTCTCGCGGACTGGAGGAAAGTGGATCGGTTCCACGGCAAAAGCTGCCAGTATCGGGCATGGCATTGTCAAAGTGTCCGGCTCCCGACACTGACGTGCTGGGCATTTGTTTGTGCGGTCCCCTTTCCGAACTCTGGCTTGGCCTCTCGTGAAGCAATCCGCGGGTTTTTACACCCCAGACCTCCACGGGGTGGAGCCGATAGTTCCATTCCCTATTGAGAAGATATACAAGTACTCGTTTTCGATTAGCTCCGTTTCACCGCCCGCCCAAAAGGGACGCTCAGTGTTTACTGAAATCTGTGGCTAGGACAGCCTGATACCTCTTCTTCACGGTAAGAGGTCGAGACATCGGATATAAAGTCGCGATCGTCGCGTCGCGTCTCTGCCACAAACCTTATGCCCCCCTGGAGTCCTCGGCAGCTTCTGAGACTAGCCTTAACTTTGCAGGGTTTTTGACGATATGATGGGCTTCCGAAATAAAGGCGCCCCCTTTTTCCTTTTGGACTTGGTGCCATTTCCCCGAACCGGCTTACCCGCACAGAAAAGTTGCCGGATGAGGAGGCGAGGATTTTCCTAGCACCCGGAGGAGCGCCACAGCCTTGAAGAGAATTGGCTTCAGCCTTTTGGGCCGCATCTCAGCCTTACAGCACTAACTGCCTGACTGGCCTTGTCGCCGCTGAAGGGGTCTGGGAGAGACGCCCAATACCCACAACCTTCGCTCGTTTGAGTGTCAGTCAAATCTCTTTTTCTCCCGCCTTGGCGATTGGAGTGGCCATATTGTCAGGGCCTTGGGTGCGTGCGGAAGTTTTCTGTACGGAGCAAACGGGCAGCCTTAATAACTGACGAGGCGCTTTTCTTTGAGAGAGGGGAGGGGGCCCGTTGGCAGAAAGTGTAAGGTACACACACACACCCACCAGCATTGAATTCTTCGGACGGTTTATAACGCGCCCGTTCTGCACTGTACCTATGGAGTACATTAGTCGTTTGCCCTTTCAAAGCATATTGTTCCCCCGGGAGCGCTTCCCGTCGAAAGCCACTCACACGTCCGTGGCCGTTTGAAGACGAAGGTCTTTGCTCACCACTCTCGCGAGCCGTGTGCCGTGCCGGATCTGGAGCCCTTGCTTTATCAAACACGCTGCCAACTGGCGTAGACGGTGCGTCTTGCCTCCGCGGCATGTGCAGCTGGCATGAAATCTTCAGACACGTTTCCCCCTGTTGCAGGGTCTCCATGATGAGACATTATTGTTGAAATGTTACATGGCTCTCTTCCCGCTGTTGCATGTCAAACCCACAAATCACCCATGTTTGAGAGAATTGATTTCAAAAACGGAAAACAAGGGGCGTCGCGTGCTGCCTGCCGCGTGCCCTCTGCCTCCTGATGATCATCATCATTCACCGGTTTCTTTCCAGATCAAGCAGCGGTGGATTCCCCGGCCGGCAACGTGACCGGCGGCGTTGGACGTGGCTTGGTCGGCTTGGACAAAGCAGAGGTCAGAGGACTGGCTCAGCACCTCGTCCAGAGCGCGAAAGGCGCCGGGCCCGAGGTCCAGGGCGAAGCGAATTTCCTTGACGTGCCGCGGCATGCGCATCACGTAGATGTAAGGATCCAACGACTCCTTCCAGTCACTCTCGACCATGGTCCTTCGCAGGTCCTGTAAGGCGGTCTGGTAGTCCCCGTCGGGGAAGTCGAAGGAGAAGTGCCGATCCCAGACGTTGAGGTCGAGGACCAGGCGGGGTTTGGCCTGGCCGTGGGGGATGGAGGCCATGAAGTCCTTGAGGTAAGGGATGGCGACCAGCAAGATGTGGGATGCGGCTTCGATGACGATGAGCTCGAGGCCCGGACAGTGTCGGTCCAAGGTCCTCCAGAAGGACGTGGCGTACGAGCTGTTGAGCCAGGCGTTGCGGTAGACGCGCAGCGTCTTGATCGACGCCAGGGCAATGGAGCCGAGATGACAAAATGTCTGGATGTCTTTGTCGAAGCGGAACGAGTTGGCGCCATACGCGAACTGCAGCGCGTCGCGCGAGATGGCCTTGTTCACGCGAAATAGCGCCGTGTGGAAGGTCGGCTCGTGCGGCGTCTCCCTCGCCTCGTCCGAGAGTGGCCATGTCGCCCACTTCGTGTAGAAGTCGTGGAAGCCCAGTGTGATGGGGTTGGGTTTGTGACAGAAGAGATACGCATAGATCTGATGTCGAACCTCGGTGGGGAGGTCAAGTAGACCTAGTCGCTTTCGAGGCTGATCACCGCTCGTGCTATTCATGACTGGAGTTTGTCTGGTGGATGACCTCTGGGTAGAAGGAGGCGGGTTGTTTGTTTTTGGGAGTCTCTCTCCCTGAGCATGTTAGGACCAATCCGCAAGCAAACGGACAGTCTGTCAATAGTGGCAGGAATTGACAGACGTGCAATACAGGAGGCCTAGTCTTCGTGGCAGCAAGATAGAAAAAAAAAGAAAACAATAGTGGCGTTGGGTTTGCCCTCGCTTATTTGATGACGGATGGCCCTCCCAATCCACGCTACCGTGATGTCTCTTTTTGGACCACGTGGTTGCGGATTTGTGATCTGGGCAAAACCACCTCGTCGGGATCAGAGTCAGCGTTCATTCCTCAGGGGAACGATTACTGTTGTGTCGTATGTGAAAGCTGGAGGAGTCGGGAACTGGAGAACTGGAGACATCGGTAAGGCTGCCAAGAGGAGGAGGTGATATGACGGTCTGCCAGATGCTGCTTCTGGGATGCGCGTGACGCCGCCCTGTGCTCAACCCAAGCACCCCGGCTCACGTGCGCGCTTTGGGCAACGACTGGTTCGTAATACAAGCAGCTGATTGGTTTCAAGCATTGCAATCACCTGACTTATGAATGGCGTCAAATTCCCTAAAGTCATGTGACTATGTAACTGCGCTGCGCCCTCAGCCTTGTGCCTTTGCCCCCCCATACTTGGGATCAAGTACCAGTACCGAGTCCTCATAGTCTCTTCGTCAAGAATTGCTTTTATCATTTGGTTCCCTGCCATAGACAAAGGTCACATGCGCATGTCGCATCTATCTATCGAGATTGGACACCCAGTCTAATCCAACCTCATTGTCTCTCCAAAGTGCCGTCTATCAGGAAGCCTTCGCAAGCTCGGCCTTGATCCATCCTACCAACCCCCCCTTTGCCACAATCTCCTGAAGATTCTCGGGAAATTCTCCAACCTTCTGCTCCCACCGTTCCCCATTTTCTCCTTCCTGTACCTCAATCGTGCTCCGGGAGATATCCCATGTCAGGGTCCAGCCTGTACGCCTGGTAGGTACCTTTTCTGGGAAGACAGTTCGAAGACGCTCCACCAAACGCGGCAGTTCTAGACACGGCAGTGCATTATTGATACCGTTCCGGACAAAAATGTTAGAGAAGCTGCCTGCCACAACAAGTGGGATGTGCCTGGCCAGAAGAGCTGTTGCGGCTTGCTCTCTCGACGAGCCAGTTCCAAAATTGAACCCTGAGACGAGGATGTCGTTAGGCTTTACGATCGACCTGAACTCCGGGTCGTAATTCTCCATGCAGACTTTTGCCATGTCTTCCGTCGTCATATCGTCTTGATAGGTATATTTGCCCGCATATATGTTGTCGGTGTCAAGATTGTCGGCATCAGCGAAGAGGATTTCACCGCTTATCTTGGCTGGGAAGCCTGGGAGGATCTTCGTGACTGCTTGGGCATCATCGTCGCCGACTTGAGCAGTCGTCTGAACCCTGTCGATTAGAGACTCGAGCTGTTCAAGGGCATTGTCGAGCTCGTTTTCGATTGTTGCAGGTTTTCCGGTACCGTAACCGTGCTGTACGCCGTTATAGTTCTCCGGCGCCTCGTAAACACCAGGACCTGAAAGAACGCCGTTCAGGACGCTGGCGGCCACGACTTCGGGGCTGCTCAGGTATGCATGGGCCACTTCTCGCCGTCAGTCCTCTGGTATGCCGCAAACACAATTGAAATAGTAGGAGAACTCACGTCTTGATCCGAGACGGCCCTTAAAATTGCGGTTGGATGCGGAAACTCCCACCTCGCCATCCTCTAGCAGACCCGTGCCCTGTGTATCATTGGAGTTTAGCATAAATTTCACACAAAATTCCACAAGGGCAGCAGCGACTACTTACCAGTCCGATACACGGGCCACATGAGGGTGGGAGCACGGTGGCTCCAGCCTCAACCAAGGTCTGCCAGCTACCTTCATCCTCAGCAATAGCCTGCTCTCTGGCTGAAGCTGCTGCAATGTATAGCTTAACGCCGTCTGCAATTTTGGGAATTTTGCCGCCATTTGACTCGGCGGCAGCTTGAAATACCTTGGCTGCAGCCTTCAGATCCGAGCTTCGCGAGTTGGTGCAGCTTACGATGTATCCCTTGTCTACCTTGATGTTTTGTTTAGCGAGGTCATGCAGGGGGGTCGAGATTTTGACCGAGTTAGGTCCCGAGATGTAAGGCGACAGAGTAGAGAGGTCAAGGTAGAGTTTCTTTGCATAATGCGCTCCGGGATCAGATCGAAGAGGGTTGGCAAATAGTTCGTCAACCATTTCGTGTGTAATTCGTTGTCGAGTCGTTCGATCTGGGAACATTGCTGCCTCTGTAGCCTTGTATCGGAGCCAACGTTCTAGTGTCGTGTCCATCGGAAACTATACGAAGACGAATTAGACGGGCTCATAAATGCAGACTGTAACTCAAAAAAGGTGCCATACCATTGCGGATGTTGCAGACCACTCAGTCGACATATTGCTGATTGTCAGACGGTCGTCCATGGGAATACTAGCCATGGTTTCCTCCGATCCCACAAATTCAACGCTATGGTTCAGCACATCCAGTGGGAAGAGCCCACAAAGCGCAATGATAACATCCTTCCCGCGAACACCTGGGGGTAGTGTGCCGAGAAGATTCACTTGCACGACGGGGGGACACTGGAACCAACTCTTCCCAGTGGCGAATATTCCGGCGGCGTCGGTCCTGACCAAGGCAACTCCCAAGCTTGCCAGAGCTCCGTACATGTTGCTGTGGCTGTCAGACCCAACGCATAGGGTTCCTGGCCAAACGAAAAGCTCTTCAACCTATACATCCATTAGCAAACTACGGGTTCCCAGTATAAATTCGACGCGGAGAAACTTGCCATAATTTGGTGGCCGATCCCATGACCTGCGGGGAAAAAGTTGACGCCATGCTTTTTGCCAAACTCCTGTATCTGCTTGTACTTCTTCAAGTTACTGGGGCTTGTGTTCTGCACATCGTGATCAAGCGCAAAGACAAGCTGAGAAGGATCCTTGATCTTGGTGGCACCTGTGGACATGAATCTCATGGCCACAGGCCAGGTATTATCGTGTGTGAGGCATCTGTGAGGTCGAATCTGAACGTAGTCGCCGCTTCGGACAACCTTGCCCTTCGGAAGATCGACCGAATAGCGTTGAAGGATCTTCTCCGTCAGCGTTTGTGGGGATGTCACATTCTTTTCGGGCGCGATGTTGGGCAGCGGTGGCTCTTGGAAGTTCGTATGTAAGGTGGAAGCAGCTGTTGAGGAATAGCGACACGCGGGCTGGTTGTATCGGGGACGCTTAAGGCTTCGACACGGGCTCGCGCGAATGAGCGACCGAGCCAAAGGGTCGGCAACGACGACCTGTATGAAGGAGATCAGTGTCTGCCAGATGCAGAACCTTTCATAACCAAAAAGAAATCACCTACCGCTCTATAAAACATGGTACGCCTAGCGCAGAGCGCAGCCTGCTGGCGATGACCAGTGTCGTAGATAAAAATCCAAAAGAAGTAATCAAATGAAATAAAAGATGTTAAAAATGCAAGTAATAACCAAGGTTCCTCCGCAGTCATGCAGGGTGGGTTTAAAAGCGGCGGGGCAGGTGGGCGTTGCCGTGAGTCTCGGCATCAATTTTTCTACTCGGTATACCTCGCCTGGAGCCGCTTGGTCGCCACACACTACCGCGTTTGGCACTAGGAATTCGACAGAGTACATAGCTCTAACCAAGTCGCCAGCAATAATATCAGTGCCGGATGGTGTGAGCTTTGCCCCGACCACGTCCTTGACTGCTCTTATGCCCATCTATTGTGTCTTTCGTCCTTCCTTGGATTTGCCGACCACGAGCACCAAACCCACGAGTTCCATGTGGGTGGAGTTGTCCTTCGCCGAAGCTGCATAACGCTATGGACGTAATCCCCGAGTATCTGTTCCTGATCCTAGACTATAAGAGGAACTCTCGACTTCTGCAGGTTGCCAGAAACAACGTCTGCGGTTCTACATCGCATCAAGTGTACGAGGGATTCTGTGTTGCACTGGATGATGCCCGGGGTACAGAATCGTTGAGGGTACTTCGCTTCAAGAGATTCTGCACCAGGGTCGTGATCCTCTGCACGCACAAGGGAGCTTCTAGTAGCAGCCAAAGGGAGGTTAAATGAAACCCAGAAAGGAAAGGCTGAGGGTCAGATTTGGAGAAAGCTCAGGAGGATCGTTTACAAGTAGTACTTAGGTACTCCTCGCGTTGTCTGTGCTTGTCCCAATTCGGATACAGTCGACAGCCCATCACGTGTTGCACAGGAGGTAATGACGTAGCAATTCTACTCTCCGCAGTCCATTTCTTTGTCTCGCGCGAACCTGAGGACCGCAACCTTCCGAATCGTGTTTGATCGTTATCCCAGTGTCCACCGATTGCAGCCGAGTAGAGAGTGAGCAAGCAAGCTTCGAACCACTCCTCAAAACAAGGGTTTCGTCCTTCTTCTTCACTTACTTCCATTCAATAAGCACTCCATACCAGCCCTACATAGCTTTCTCCCCGCTCATTCCTGAGCTCCAGAATCAGCTCGCACGATATCGCATGTGGCAGCCCAAGCCCATGAAAGCCTTCGTATCCAACATGTTTCGCATGGTATGTTCAGAGTCCGGTGACAATTACTACTGCACCTATATACACACAGTTCTTTCCCTCCCCTCTGATCAAAGCAACCCCGCCCCCCCCCCCCCGGGAACACTCTTAGATTGTCAACGCATCAGGGAAAGAGAGGTAAATAGAAGATTCGAGCTAATCTAACCATTTCTATCGTCTCGAACCACCAGGCCAAAACCCTCGATGTGATTACCCTGTTCCACAAGCCCTCCCTCCCAGCGAGCGTGCGGGCGCAGACACTCCTGAAACAGGCCTCCGCGCAAGCCGCCCAGACCGCGACCGAAGACCAGGCCTCGGACCACTCGCACCAGAACAAAACCGTGACCCGAGACCCGTTCGAGCTGGAAATCACCGAGCAGCCGCCTACACCGGACCAGCTGAAGAGCATCTTCGAGTATGTCGGCTCAGGTCGCGCCGCGGACCTGGTCAAGGGCGCCGCCAGCGAGAGTGATGCCCTGAGGAAGGTCAAGCAGGATGGGAGCCTGTTCACGCGCCCTGTCGTCGTGGATTGGAGTGCCGGGAAGGCCGTCATTGGGGATAAGGACAGCGAGATCTTGAAGCTGCTGAAGGCCGAGCAAAAGTGAGGAAAGGGGATTTGTGGTCGATGACTGATGTCAAACGCCAGTCGTGGAGGAGACAAAACCTACGAGCTGCCGCCGGGAAGTTGAGCAAAGTCGAGTGATGGCGGCTATGGGACCACGGGAACTATACAGGAAAACCTTCGAATCACAATTGGAAGTGGCCGACGACTACGGTTTGTGCGAGTGCTGTTGATAAAGCTCAATGGAGAGAAGGTTGGTGCAGAGGTGGTCGTTGCTATTGTTGATCCATGGACACAAGTGGCTTGCCTTCTCGGCCTCTTCAAAAGTTCAATGGGTAGTTGCCTTGATGGAATGATATTGACCCGATGGTTACGAATTTTAGATCTCCTTCCGGTCCCTGGATGCCCATGGCTGAGAGCACTCAATCTTAGAGGCTGGAGTGAAGGACTGAGATGAAGATCTGAGTGAAGATGATTTCGTGTTCCCGAATGCCTGACTCGCCTCGCACTGGCTCTGTTTACTGGGTTTGTGTAAGAGACGTGGAACCTCCCCTGATGCCAGGTCCTTTCCTGCGCCTCGCACGCCGAGTTGCCGCTCTGACAGTCAGGCATGTCGCCCTAGTAGAGAGATCGGTTTCTGACCGCTGCAAAGCGCGTCCCAGAGTCGTTTCGTTGGCATTGATGGTTGGCACAGAGCACACACACCTGGTTTAGCCTATTCTCCTGCACACCAATAATCCGTCCTGATCCCCCTGCGCCATGGCCACGCAATCTTTACCAGAATGTTCACGAGCTAGGTCAGTTTGAAATATTGGATTGCTGCTCTGATCCACCCAGTTGGGACGCAATTACAAGGTCAAGAACCTATTCGTATACCTCTTCCAAATTGGACTTGCTTCCCTGGTCTTGTCTTTGGATTGTTTGAGATTGCAGAGACGCTGCTGTTGTGATATTGCACGTCAGCGTCCTCTTGTCATATCTCCGCACTTCAGATTCTGCGCCGAGCTGTTCCACAGAGACGGGACGGAATCACAACGTCATGTAAGCCCCTGAGTCCAGCGCGTAGGTCAGCCTGCTCTCAGATGTGGCCAAGAAGACAGAGACAACCCAGCTAACATCACAATATCAAATCAAGAGGTCGGGGTTGAGGCCTTGGCACCAAGGAAGGCTGTGCAGAGAAAGGAGATCCACCCCCAGCTTGAAGTTCAGCCTGGCAACGAACACACAACTGCCTCCCTCCTTGTAGGTAAGAATCCGGACAGAATCGACAGTAAGTCTCGGTCCGGAGGCTGCTGGTGTCTTCATGTAAGGTACGACAGTCCGATTCGCGTTCGGCGCTGGCTGCGAGACGGAGAGCAGCCGGGAGAATGTCTGGTGGCTTCGCTCGTCAGGGCTCTGCGGTCTTGAATGTCTTGGGCCCATTGGCGCTTGTGACACGCCCCCTACATGGACATTGAGACATGGCTCGAAAAAGTCTGCGATCTGAGCATCCAAGACTCTAATCAAGGGGTAAACACGATGAATCCGTATGGCTGTTTCGGAGTGTAAGGAACATGGGGAAGGGGATAGAAACAAGAGGCACGAGGGGATGTAGGCTTCGTCAAAGAAGTGGGATTTCTGAGGATCTCGCCGAGTCAACCAAGGCCGATAGCCTGGAAGAGGCCTTGTGAGCAACAGTGGTGACGTGTACCAGGAGGTAAGGAGCCATAATTGCTATCTGGGCACGACGCTCGGCGGCTGGGCAGTAGAGGCGGGATGGCGAGGGAGTGGTGGAGCGAGAGATAGCTGGAAAAGGCAGGCTTCAGCTGCAGCATATGCTGTATGGAGCGATCGAGTGCGAGGTAGCGGCAATGAGTGAGTTATTCATGGTGTGAGAGACGGACAATGTGAACAATTGGAGAGGCTGGGAGTTGGTGTTTTACGCACTTTGGGTAACGGCAGACGCACAAGGTGCGTATCTAGCTGCATTCCGGAGTGCTGGATTGAGGCATTCCTGTCAAGGGGGCCCCGCCAAGTCCCTCCAGCCCAGGCGTCATAGCCGCCAAGTTGCATACCTAAGGTACCGATGAGCTCACCTGGGAGCCCGGAGACCGCCCCAAGCTTCCGCCACGTCCCGGCTATGGTCGCGGCGTTGGGGGGGAGGCTGTCCTTGGGGCGTCGTAAGTCACGCAACGTGCATTCCCGAGATGCAAGACAAGACAAGGAACAACCGGACACAGGAATCAAAGAAAATCCACTCCACCCTGGTGACTATGTTATCCTTCGTGCATCTCCTCTGTCCTGCAAGTTCTTTCTCCGGTACCTGACAAACTGACCAAAATTGTTCTGTACAATAGATTCGCTCTCCTACTCTCCCTTGCTCACCAAACCAACCTGTCACTCGCTATTCTGCTCCACCTTTTAACGGCTGCCCGCCTCGTCATCTGCGGATCTGGGATCTGCGGCAAGGATCAAGATCGCCCCCACGTTCAACCAACCGAACCAATCCAACAAAGCGGCATCAATCACTTCTCGTATAGAAGAACAAATAGTTTTCCTGGTGATTCTTTGGCGATAAGGCGCAAGAGAGCCGTTCCTCCCTCAATTTCACCGCCTGCGCAAATTTCCTCGCGTCTCACAGCATCTCTCCCATCACAATGAAACCCTTTCGAAGAAGACAACACCTGCATGTGGCGTTATCAGCGATACTAGCGGCGCAAAGTGCCCTTGCGATAGAGCTTGACATCTCCAGTACCGACTCAGTCAAAGCCGCCGCGAAAATTGTTGCGAATGAAATGGTGTCGTATTACACAGGCTACCGACCTGGAGATGTCCCTGGAAATCTTCCTGCTCCATACTACTGGTGGGAAGCTGGCGCAATGTTTGGAGCACTCATTGACTACTGGTACTTCACCGGAGACGACTCATTCAATGAGATCACCACCCAAGCCATGCTCCATCAAGTTGGCCCTGATAAAGATTTCATGCCACCCAACCAGACCAAGACTGAAGGGAACGACGACCAAGCCTTCTGGGGAATGGCCGCTCTCTCTGCGGCAGAGAACGTCTTTCCCAATCCTCCAGAAGACCAGCCACAATGGCTGGCTCTTGCTCAGGCCGTTTTCAACACGCAGGCAGCGCGATGGGATACGAGCTCGTGTGGAGGTGGACTGAAGTGGCAGATTTTTTCGTTCAATGGCGGGTACAATTATAAGAACACCATCTCCAACGGATGCTTTTTCAACATGGGTGCTCGCCTTGCGGTCTACACCGGAAACCAAACGTATGCCGATTGGGCAGATCGCATGTGGGACTGGGTTTCAGCAGTTGGGTTGCGAGACGCGGAGTACAACTTTTTCGATGGGAGTGATGATACTCTCAACTGCACCCAACTCGATCACATCCAATGGACATACAACGCCGGCACGTTTCTGGTTGGGGCAGCCAACATGTACAACTTCGTAAGTCGACCTTCCACGGTCATTCGACCTGTCTTACTGACCTTTTTCAACACAGACAGGAGGCAGTCCGGTTTGGGAGGAAAGGATAAATGGGATCATCGGAAGGCTAAACGTCTTCCTGCACGACAATATTCTGAAGGAAGTTGCATGTGAAGGCGTCAATCCCGACGGGTCCGATACCTGTAATATCGATCAGCGCTCGTTCAAGGCTTACCTGGCTCGATGGATGGCAGCAACCATGGTCAGAGCACCCTTCACGTATCCTCTCCTGAAACCGATCTTGGAAACAACGGCTGCAGCTGCAGCTTCAACCTGCACAGGAGGCATCAATGGCACTTCATGTGGAATGAAATGGTGGGTGGGCCAATTCGATGGCAGTACTGGGGTTGGTGAACAAATGTCAGCCCTGGAAGTCATTCAATCCAATCTGGTCACCCAGGTTGCTGGTCCCGTCACTCAAGACTCCGGTGGAACCAGTAAGGGAGATCCCAATGCTGGCACCACAAGCCCCATTGGTCCAGAGGATCTGAACCAAGAGAAGGTTACCACAGCGGATAAGGCTGGCGCCGCGATCTTGACTGTTATGTTGATTTTCTTCATTGTGGGAGGCGCCTGGTGGATTGTTCTTTAGACCTCAGATTGTTGTGTTCGACACGACCAGCATTGCTTGCGAAAGCTAGACAGCGGAGGACATACGCTATGATTTGGCGAACTGCATCACCACGGCGTTGCGCTGCCTGCGATTGGCGGCTGTGGATTTGTTTGTGTCTAGCAAGGATGGTTAGATGCTTGGGGCATACTGGAGAATGTTTGCAACCCCGAGCTGAAGAGGCGTCTTAGGGAAGCTGGCATTCCCTCTCATGAGAAAGATTTTGCCGACGCTCAGGGAGGAGTTGGTGCTCCAGCATTCGGCATTGGGCGTTCAGGGAACAGCATCGATCCATCCAAATCTGCGCAAATCTCATGCGAGCGCGGGTAACTGGGGGTACTTTCAACGTATTGTTTGCAGAATTTTGTACAGATGGCTTGGTCCAAGATCGCCTCCCAGATGCAATGGACAGAATTTTACTTCCCTTCCGCTTGTGCTCGTCTCATCTGCTCCCGAATACTCCCTCTATCCGTTCCCTCTTCTGCTTCTTTTCTTATCCTGTCGGCCTTTTCCTTCTTCTCAGCTTCCGCGGCGACAATCCATACCGGTTTATCTGATTTGGAATATTCGATTAATTTGGAGACGAACTCTTCGTTGTTTTTGAGCCGTTGTTCTCGCAGTTCGAGATTGCGCTTTTGGAGATCGGGGTTGAAGCGTTTGAAGACTTCGCCCTCCGCGGGTGTTACGCTGAGGCACGCATGTCAGATACCGTGGCATCTCAAGCACAGACACCATCTGAGCGAGGCAATAGCTGGGAGACAACGAGGAAGTCGGCGGGTGAGGTCAAGTCTTACTAGTACATCAATGCTGGACCTCCAGCGCAGCAGAGCACCAAGCTAGGGTAGCGCAGAGATGTCAGCATAAAATCAGTCGGAGGAAAAAGTTGGACTCACACTCCAGCCATTTTAGTGTACATCCATCCTCGTGAAGCCATTGTGGTTGAGGGAAACTGTGGACGCCTTGGTCCTAGCTCAATTACAACACATTCGCCGAGAAATCATTGGATGGTGATTGGAACAGGACGGTAAGCAGACACAAAATCAACGAAACCACGGTCTGCAATGGTCTGCACCTGAAATAGATGAGGTTGAAGGTGCGGGCGTCGCGGTCGAGGTTCATGATGCATTACCATTTCTTTGTACTTGGCGGGCTCTGATTGGCGAGTGAGCTCAACCACCACTTTTCGATTTAGGGGTTTGCAGGGGGCGCCACGCGCATCCCCCAGCAGTGACAAGCAGGATTCAAGGCCGTGGATCCATGTTGTACTCGTACGAAAACACGGGAGTTGATGAGTCTAGGCTACACTGAAAGCTGGCCACAAACAACGTCGTCTGAGCCATTTAGGTTGTCGCTAAGTGCAATCAATTCGAATCAGAGAAGCATATGTGCCATGATACGAGGAGATCCAAGTCAACATGGGGTGAGTGCGCCATTAATGCACGATTGTTCGGCAAACCGAGGCAGCGATCAGTGCGCAAATCGTGCAGCCTGGCGGTCTAAGTGCACAAAGTTGCGAATACTAAGACTAGTAATGAACAAGTGGTTCTGATGTAAGGTCGCCTAGAGCACAGCCTCTTTTTACTTGGAGGGCCGAAGACAAGCCATCATCCGTCAGCCGGAATCTGAAGGTGGTGGTGGGTGGTAACTAGTAAATTGCCACATCCTCCGAACCCGTGTTCTTGGGAATATTTAGTACTTGTACGTGACTTGAGTAGGTACTGGGCAGTGAGTCCTTGTATTTCGATATTTAGTTCTCCTGGAGTTGGGTGACTACAAGTATTTGACTGCGCCGTTATCCATCACGTGCTTGCGCTGGTGAACTGAAACAAGTTGGTGGCGCTGCTGCTCGTCTCAGAAATCCAGAATCCCTGGTCGGGGCCCGGCCTCTTCCCAGCATCGGTGGTGCGCTTGTCGCAGGTCCAAGCGCCAGATTTACCAGCCCTCGTCAGCTTTGCACTTCCAACCTCCGTCTCAATCTATCTTTCATCCCCATCAGCATCCCAAGACTCTCAACCTCATCCAAGCACTTGTTTCTCTACGCACCTCACTCCGATCTGTCGACTGTTGTCACCATCTAGGCACCCCTGAAACCCCCTATTACCGACTTCGTCCCTTTCTCAATCCTACCTCATCCCTCTCCGAGACCAGCACTATCAAAATGGCTTCAGAAGCGCCTTACGATCCCTATATACCTGCTGGCGGACAAGGCGGCGCACAGCCGGCCAGCAACCAGAGAACAGCTGCCTTGCAAGCGGTACGTGATTGATGGCCCAGACGCCAGGGCATACGAAAGAAGATATTGGGGTTGAGTGACGGTCGATCTTGCCGGCTGCAGTGTCGCAGATGGATCTTATGTTGCGAACTCCATCAGCGCACGCTGGCTGAAGCCTACCGAGTCGAACGCTGTCAACTGCCATAGATTCATTGTTGAAATGATGGGATCTTATCCAATCTCGACTCGCCATCCTCATCCTCTGGTTGGGCTGAAAGCTGACATGTTCATCTCACAGCAAATCGATGATACCGTCGGTGTTATGCGTGAGAATATCAACAAGGTATCGCAAAGAGGCGAGCGACTGGACTCGCTACAAGATAAGACCGACAATCTCGCCGTTTCCGCACAGGGCTTCCGCAGAGGGGCAAACCGAGTCCGAAAACAGATGTGGTGGAAGGACATGAAGATGCGCATGTGTTTGATCGTCGGCATCATCGTGCTACTCATTGTCATTATTGTCCCAGCAGGTATGCCTCTTCCCCTCGCTTCGTATGCATTACACGAGTGCTAACTTGCTGTTTCAGTGGTCGCCACACGATAAACGCACAACCCCTTTTTGAACGACACCTGCCTTCTTTTTCCTTGGAACATTACGACAGCACAGTCTTCCCAACGTTGGAGGAAACACGTGAAAGCGAGAACAACAGCGAAAGCGAAAGCGTGAACGAGAGCTCTTTCTGAACAGTGCTCGCAAGCAGCGCGCTTATGGCGGGACGATAGGATGGGATGGAGCTACACTTGTTACAATAATGCGCACTGGGCTTTTTTCCCCTTGTCAATTGGGCGTTCAATAAAATGGATTCTGCCATGAGTTCTGCGATTGAATCCCTGCAATGTTTTATCTTGCTGATATCCCGGTGGAAGATTCGTGCAGGCTCACTTATCAGGTTTTCCTCAGTACTCGCACAATAGGCAAGGCAACTTCAGAAGCCGTCTAAGGATGATCCCGTCATCTATAAAACACTTCCAGCGCAATTTGAAAGCCTTCACTGCGTTCTTCGCGAGATACGACTTTTGAGCAAAGAATCTCGACTGGGGTAGGCTCGAGTAAATTTTTCAATGCCTGCACAGTTGGAAGAGCATAGTCCAGGTCCGCTAGATAAAGAAACGAGTGCTTGTAAATGACGATCGGCCTCTTCAGGCTAGAATGCCAGTGCAATGCGTTCATCATGCAGCAAGGCGGCGAAGAGAATTTTCCAGACAAAAATTTTTTCCCTCAGATGCAGCTGTTCCTCGTAGAGTTGGTCGCAGCGCCGGGCACGCCACCCATTAATTCGGAGTAGCGGTGGCCGCACAGGCACGGCTGGCAATGGGTTTCTGGGCTGGCACGGCTGGTGGGCTCCAAAGTTGGGGTTGTGGTTGGTTCTGCCACTGGGCAAACCTCATGCACAACAATCATCACCCCGCAAAATATTTTGCTATCGAGCAGTTGCGAGTGCAAAGAAAATTTTGACCCAAGACGACGCTGCAGAAGTTTTTTCTTCCCCCAGCTCTGATCCCGGGCATATGGTTCTTTGGCGTTTCTCTCAATAGACCTGCAGTTGGGTTTTACCTGTCCTTTTCCCGTGTTTTGATCTCCCCTCTTCCTCCCTCGAACTCGACTGTCATATTGCGACAAAGACTTTCTGCGTCACCGACATCGGACATTGAATTCCATAGATCTCATCAGCTGCCGCATGACCTGAAAGCCCACGATGTCGGCATTGGGAGCTGCTACTGCGCGAGCAGTCACTCGACGGGCAGCGTCCTCGACCCTTCGTTCTCGAGCTCTCCGCCTTGCTAGACCTTCATATACCCCCCTCGCTGTACAGCAGACATCTTCCCAACGAACATATTCCTCCCCGTCGGGATCGTATCCCTCGACAAGGTCAACGGTGGTACAGTTGCTCAGTAACATTGGCTCCAAGAGGGAGGTTCAACAGTACTTGTCACACTTCAGCTCGGTTTCGTCCCAGCAATTTGCAGTCATCAAGGTCGGCGGAGCCATTTTGACCGAGCATCTGCAGACTCTGTCCTCCGCCCTTGCATTCCTTAACCATGTCGGGCTCTATCCAGTGGTGGTTCACGGTGCTGGGCCACAGCTGAACAAGATTCTGGAGGATTCCGGGGTCGAACCACATTTTGAGGACGGAATTCGGGTTACAGATCCCAAGACACTGGGCATCGCACGAGCGCTGTTTCTCGAGGAGAATTTACGGCTGGTAGAGGAATTGGAGCGTCTAGGTGTTCGAGCCAGACCAATCACCTCTGGGGTTTTTACAGCGGATTATCTTGACAAGGAGAAATACAACCTCGTGGGCAAGATCAGACGTGTTGATAAGAGACCAATCGAAGCTGCCATCCAGGCAGGATGCCTGCCCATCTTGACGTCCATGGCCGAGACATCGGACGGCCAGGTCTTGAACGTGAATGCGGATGTCGCGGCCGGTGAGCTAGCGCGAGCGCTCCAGCCTTTGAAGATTGTCTACCTCTCCGAGAAGGGTGGGTTGTTCAATGGCGACACGAAGGAGAAGATCTCCGCCATCAACTTAGATGAAGAATATGATCACCTCATGCAACAGTGGTGGGTTCGGCACGGTACCAGGTTGAAGATCAAGGAGATGAAGGAGCTCCTTATGGATCTGCCTCGCAGCTCGAGCGTTGCCATCATTCACCCAGCTGATTTGCAAAAGGAGCTGTTCACGGATTCTGGAGCCGGTACTCTGATTCGACGGGGCAACAAAGTCCATGTCAACACCTCTATCGACCAGTTTAAAGACCTCGACAAACTGAAGGAAGTCCTCATCCGTGATCGAGCCGGACTTGACGCCCCCGCCATTGTGGATCGCTACATCAAGTTCCTCCATACACGAGACTTCAAGGCTTACTTCGATGAACCAATGGAGGCGTTTGCCCTTGTCCTGCCACCAAGTGCAGAGACAACATTGGCTCAGCTGGCAACCTTGACCATCACCAGGAATGGCTGGCTTACCAACGTAGCAGACAATATCTTCGCCGCCATCAAGAAGGATTTCCCCAAGCTGATGTGGACTGTCAAGGAAGACGATGAGAACTTGACTTGGTTCTTCGACAAAGCTGATGGTAGTCTCTCCAAAGACGGCGAAGTCCTCTTCTGGTACGGTCTTGAGACCAGCGATGAGGTTAAGGACCTTATGGTCGAATTCACGAAACACGGCCGTCAGTTGTTTGGTGATATCAATCTCGAGGCCAAGCTGCACCGTGCAGCCAGAGCGGCATCCAATGTAGCCAACACTACTACTCAAGGGGTGACACAGAAGCGGACTTTCTCAACGTCGGCGAATCCATTACGTTCAGCACGACAAGCAAGATATGTCACCAAGCCTGCTCTTTCTATTCGCACATACTCCACGACCAATCCGAACCCACCTCTAGGTTCCAAGAACAGCTCCAACAGCAAGCCTTCGCGGGTAGCCCTTATTGGAGCTCGAGGCTATACCGGAAAAGCTCTTATCGACCTCCTTAATCGCCATCCCCACATGGATCTGCGTCATGTATCGTCGCGGGAGCTTGCTGGCAGGAAGCTTGAGGGATATGACAGGCGCGAAATCATCTACGAAAACCTGACCGTGGAAGACGTTCGACAAATGGAAGAGAATGAAGATGTGGATTGCTGGGTTATGGCCCTGCCCAACGGTGTTTGCAAGCCATTTGTCGATGCCATCGATCAGGTCGGCAAAAACAGTGTCATTATCGATTTAAGCGCCGACTACAGATTCGATCCGAACTGGACTTATGGTCTACCGGAACTAGTTGACCGGTCCGCCATAGCAAGGGCTACAAGAATCTCGAACCCAGGCTGCTATGCTACAGCCGCACAATTAGGCATTGCGCCTTTGGTGCCATACTTGGGTGGTCAACCAACAGTGTTCGGCGTCTCAGGGTATTCAGGTGCAGGCACCAAACCGTCTCCGAAGAACGACGTCAACAATCTCACAGACAACATCATTCCATACAGTCTCACGGACCATATCCATGAACGCGAGATCTCCACCCAACTAGGTACATCGGTGGCATTTATACCCCATGTTGCTGTCTGGTTCCAGGGCATCCATCATACAATTAACATTCCGCTCAACCAAGAAATGAAGTCTCGCGACATCCGAACGCTTTATCAAGACCGCTATGCCGGGGAAAAACTGTTGAAGATTATTGGTGAAGCGCCCCTTGTGAAGAACATCGCCAAAAAGCACGGTGTGGAAGTTGGCGGGTTTGCAGTCCACAGCAGTGGAAAGAGAGTGGTCGTTTGCGCAACTATTGACAACCTTTTGAAAGGAGCAGCAACACAGTGTCTTCGTAAGTCTCAGGTCCCCATTTGAATCGTGATGCCCCTTACATATACTGACATTCTATCTGCACAGAAAACATGAATTTGGCTCTGGGTTATGGGGAGTACGAGGGTATTCCTATTGAGTAGGGAAATGGACCTAGACTAGAATATACGAAGGCGCCGACGGCAAGATACAATACCCCAAAAAGCATTCGAATACAAATTCCGGCTTAATCATACAAGTTCCATCCTGTGAGCTATGTTCTTTTTTTGGTCGAAAATGCACTCCTCACGTCCGGGGTTGGTTCAATCACATCACAAGAGCAGTATCGGCAATGGCCCAATGGATGCTCTGACTTTCGCTGTGTCTTTTCAAACGAGCATCTGGTTACAGTCTGTGCGCCTCGAGCATTGTGTGGAGACCAGCACGCGACTGGGAGAATCCGGTAGAAGGAGCCCGAGGAGGTTCGCGGCTAAGGGATCCAGGCCAGTGTCTGTCTTTGGAGTCGATTCCTGGAAGAGGACGTTGTAATCTTGTGATGAGAAGGAGAGGTTCATGGGTATAATTCAGGTTGGGAGAGATGGGAAGGGAACAGTTGAGAAAGGTTTGTCAACATGGCAGGCTTGGAAAAGAACCCCAGTTTGCACATTGTCCTTTGGAACAGGCGATAATACCAGGAACATACACAGCGAGACAGGGTCTGGCAGAAATGGCACGCGTGTTCTGGATTCGCGTTGTTCTGAAATCATTCACTTTCCAACTCGCCTCCCAATCTGCAACCCTCTCCAGATCATGCCTCACCGCACTTGACCATTTGACCAGCTCCTCCTACTTCTGATCTCCCCCTTTGGTTTGCTACCAACCGCAGCCGCAGCCCACGTCCTCTGGCCGGCCTCTTCGGACTCGTTACGGTTCGAAGGAATTCTCGAGGAAGTTTGTATGCGGCAGGACATTCGCCGTTGTTGACGCGACATGTTCTACAGCCACGAGAGTGAGTCCTCGTCTTTCTGGTCAGCCGAGCAGTTGAAAGACACAACTCGAGACAAAACGCTGACCACAACCTTTCTGTCCGGATTGAACAGTCTTGACGAATCGTCAGTATGGCGTTGCGACCATCTGGTATGAAACTTCCTACTCCCCATCTCATCCATCCCCTCGACCGAAGTCTCCCGCTCTGGCAGTTCTCACACACCCTCTGAATGTTTGCCACACGCGCTCACTTCTTCACCAGGCTCGTGGCAACACTTGGCTCCAAGTCCAACCTGAAAAAGGTATCTCGTCGCGCGATCCTTGACGTCGACCTTCAAAAGGCATGCAAGACCATCACGGAGCCCGAGGTGCCCCTGGCGCTGAGGTTGCAAGGCAGTCTGCTGTTTGGCGTCTCCCGAGTATTCCAGCGACAATGCGATTATGTATTGACAGATGCCACGAGTTTGAGAGACAAGATGAGGGACACGGTCCATGTCTTGAAAGAGATGGAGCTGGACCCGGATGTTGGAAAGACGCGGTCAGTCGACAAATGTTTCCTTCATCCTTATGAGACTCATTTTTATCACAAGGCCGGAACAACTTAACCTCCCAGAAGACCCATATTTCAATCCAGATCTTGACATCCACTTCGATCTCTCCGCGTTTGGATTCGCCTCAGAAGACTTCAGCCCCTCCATTGGCGCCTCGTCGTTTTTCACACTGCCTTCAAGCCAGACCAGCGACTCTCTCCACGATGAGACAGCCGAATTTGAGATTGAGATGCCTTCCTTCGATACGCCTGCTGGAGCCAGTGGCGGCCTCGATGTGTTCATCCATGGAGAGACAAGCTCTGTCATGCAGACTGGCAGCAGGGCCGATCCTTATTCGGTCTTTGAAGAAGAATCTGCCATCATGCATGAACCACTCTTTGACGTTGATGAGGATGGCTTTCTCCGGCCCGCTGTCCCGGAGAGTCTTTTGGGCCTCGAGCGACCAACCGATGCTGGGCAACAACGGCAAATCGACCTCATGGCTGGTGACTGGGATGGTAGCGTACATCCGCCAAGCGCAAGAGATGATGAGCTATTGCCAAACCTCGACGAAATGAATGTTGTTGGACACGATGAGCCAGCCCTCTTACCACCAGCTCCTCAAATCCCTCTGACCCCGGAGCTTGAAGACGAAGGATTCCGCCAAGGGACACAAGCAACCTCCTCCGTCCAAACGTTCGAGGAAAGCTCAGAGACAGCAGAGGCACCCGAGCGTCGCGGACGCAGTGTGAAGGCAATCCGACCAGATCGACAGACAGAATTGAGTAATCGAGATCTCAACGAGTGGAACCAGAATTACCTTGCCAACATGGCAGCTGCTTCTCGTACCAGACAGAGTCAGATAGCCTGCTTCGAGGCCAAGAAGAACGCCAAATTCTGGATCCTACAGCAAGGATTGGGGAATGTTGCCTCTTGTTTCGGGGATGACAGAGTCCCACACCCTTTCACCGTCTTCAGTGGTCAGTCGCTGTGGGACATGTTGAGCGGCGAACTGGGACACGGAAAGAAAAGATCACGAAGTAGTTCTCTTGACGAGGATGAACAAGAGGACGACAGGCGAGTAAGAGCCAGGACAATATCCGAAGGTGAAATCGCTCGCGGAGGAGATGACATGGGATTCCCATATACCGACGACAACGGGTTGATATTGCCAGGCGAGGACTTCCGTTTTGAAGCTGAGGTTGGTCGCCAGGGCCCTCCATCCTTACTTGACCAATCGTCTGGCATGCCATGGAATATCTCTGGATCTCGTCACAGCTCGGCACAGCCTTTGGGGAGCGGCCTTATCTCGAGATTGGGCTCAAGCATCGGTGGTCTCCATGGCGGCATAGAGCCAGGACCACCTTCTGCTATAAGTAGACGAGGATTGCGTCTGACTTCTGCGAGTCCACTTCTCGGGAGAGGAATAGCTTCGCTGTCCAGACAGAGCAGTCGGGAACCTCTCGACACGTCACGAGTCACGAGCGATGAGGACGTCTTCGCAGATCTAGACGCGCAGCTGGGTGCAGACATTGATCCAGATTTCGAACTCTACGGACCTTCCGTGACTGTCGACACGCAAACGGCTGCACAGTCTCAATGGGTGGCTGCAACTCTGGAGAATGAAGCATACAATTTTCTTACCTTTGTCAACACGAAAGTCCAAGAGAAGGCAGAACAGCAAGATGGTACTGGAGAGGGAAGAAATGCAGCACAAGAGATGACGATCACCTTAGACGAGCTCCTCCCACCATCCCAGAACTCGCAGATCGTGGGTGCCCAAGCTCTACTTCACGTTCTTGCGTTGACCACGAAGGGGTTGCTAAAGGTCTACCAGGCCGATGGGTTTGGTGCTATCGAAATCTCGGTCACAACGGTTGAAATGAGCTGAGCGGGTTGGTCAAGGTGACGGTTGAACGCCTGACTCTGAAAATTGGGGACGTGGTCAAATTGTCCGAGCCTTGCGCTATGACATGTGGTATGTGCGTTGAACCTTGTGTGAGTACGCGGAAAGAGTAGGATTCGACTATCAGCTGATATGCGACTGAAAATGGTGACAGTGGCTACTAATACTCCAAGACCTGCGAGATGATTCAGCTGGGGAGCTTCATGTCAGGATCTTCTGTAACCGGAAAGTCGTGGCCCGGGTCAAGGGGTGATGGTGCTCTCGCTAAATGGGGGATTTATGAAGCCAGCAAGGATCGAGCACCAAACCATCGCCGTTTGATCGTCTAATAAATTCTCAAGAAAGGGTACGAGTTGTGGCGCAGGCGGCAGACCTCTAGCATCTTGCTTTTCAAGCCACAATGCTGTCCAATCAAGCCAGTGTAGTTCTGCGACAAATCTTGTTTCAAAGTAGAGTTCGATGATCCAGAGTTTGTGTGGCCGTATGCTGGGTAGGCAAAAAGGGACGAGAATACTCGTATACTCGGTACGCAAAGCCCAATAGCAGTTGACGACTGATTTCCATGCATCTTGCTTGCACAGCCCACCACCCTACCATCTTCGGGAGCAATGGGAGCCAGCTTTTTCCAGGATCTCCCATGGCCCAGCAGTCTGGGCCGCGTCTCGTTAACGTGGAGATCGGTGGCTTCAAAGCCCGCAACCCCGTTCGAGAGGCTTCATTTAGCGGGCGATCGTCGGGAGGTCGGTCGTCAAAGAGGTCTGGTTGCGGCGAATCATGGGCTTGTGCCTGGCATGAAAGGTTGGGGTTCGCCCTTTGTCCTGCGTGCCTGGTCAGGTTCCGACTTTGTCAACGTCAATCAATGAATGTTCATCTGTCTTGTACCCAATCGCACCTTGTTGCGAGTTAAATCGGTCTAACGGGGATTCCACACCTGGGGATTGCAACAAACAGATAGTGGCTGAAGATTGGATCCCACGGCAAGTAAAAAAGTCCATAATATTACGTTGGATTTTGCTTGGGGCTTCTGGGCTGCGCTCACGAGTATTCGTCACCCCCCCTCATTCCCTCATTCTCCCCCTTAAGCTAAAAGGCAGAAGCACCAGAAGCCTTAGCCGAGCCCGGGTGATCGCGTCCCGATCCCCTGTGAAGCCCTGGTGGCGCCTCCGGAATTTTTAAACAAATCTGTGCCGTTTGGCAGCAGTCTGGGCCAAAACAGCCCAAAAGAGGCCAATGTGGACTAGCTAGAGCGGCAGTCCATTCGCAACAAACAACCCGACCTTTTTACCTGCGACTCACTCGACCATACACATATCTGCGCCGCTCGCTCCCTTGGTCGCTATCGGGGTAGTTGCTGCGTCCCTCCCCTCGGTTGCGCTCAATCTGCTTGCCCTGGCTGTTCGTCACCTCTTGTCGCTTGGCTGCGGCTGAAGATTTGGACGGCGTTTCTCGCGGCCACATTGATTTGATAACAGTCCGATGCGGACTTGAAATCCAGCCTGAACATTGATTACACCTCTTTCCCGCGGCACTTCGTCGTCAACAACCAGGTACTGTCTGTCGATGCGGCTTTTGTGGGAAGAAGGTTTTCTCTAGGCGGACTGAGACAAGGTCTCGTGCTTGTCCGTCACGATGATGGCCGGCAACCAATACGGCCAGCAATGGCAACAAAACCCAGCTCCCTCGTACCAATACGACAGTGGAAATAATCAGAGACAATGGCAAGAGAACGGGAGAGGTCAGGGTCCCTACAATCAGGACAACCAACGCTACAATGACTATCCAAAGAGTCGGAATGGTTATGGGCCAGGCCAGGCGCCGGCCCCGGCTGGTTATGATCGAAACGCGCAGTGGGAAGGTCAAAATAAATATCCCCAGCCAAACGGCCATGAGGCACGCTACGTTGAAAGTGGCGATGGGTATTCGCAACCCCCTCGGCCAGGCCAATTCGATCAAGGTGCCCCTGCTCCGAGGCAATATTCATATGACGAGCGCTATCGCACCAATGGGTCAGGCAGAGCACCACCAGATCACGGCCATTCCAGTGCACAGAGACCACCGAGGAACCAGTGGGCAGAGCCTTCCACGCCTCCCAGGAGACTCAGGCGTAAGAATTAAGTGGTATTGTTCGATCGACGTTGAACGCTGACGCTTTGTAGCCCGCGACCGCATTTTGACTGAACCCACGTCCCCTAAGAACTTGTCCTGGGATAATCCATTCGGCGCTTTCCCTCCTAAAAAGAGACCAGGAGACAGGATGAGGCACGAGAGACACGGCAGTCTGGACAACGCCATGGCCAGTCTCGACATGAACGAACGCCGTCCTAGTGGAGGTTATGAAGCAAGACCTCATACCTCCAACAGCCCGAGAAAAGAAGCGCCTCGTCCCAGGACCTCGCATGACCGCCATGACCGTCCTCCCGATATGGGGCCTCCGCCGCTTCCGCAACAAACGTATCCAATGCCGCCTGGTCGAAACTCTCCGGAGATGAGTTATCAACAGCCACCGGCCCCCAGACAACAGGGCGGGATGAACAGTCCGAGAATGCGGCCAGCAGGCCCTCCGCGTGGTCCCCCACCGCCAGGGAATAGAAGCGGACCTCGTCCTGGGCCCCCCAGTGGAATGGAGGAGTTCAGTCCGCCGGCAAACTACAACGCTCCACGCAATTATCCGCCTCCAGATCGTCGGGCAAATAACTACATTTTCGATGAGGGTTACTCATCAGACTTCATTCCTCAGTCAAGAGCACACGTTTCACCCATAGACCGTGTTCCTCAGGGATATGGACCGGGGCCTGCACCTCAAGAGGACCTTCGTACGGACCCATACCGAGGGTTTCCTCCTAACGGCCACGGGCAAGTCAGCCAGTTGAGAGACAGTCAAATCCCAAATTTTGATGCTATTCCGACTGGGGTGAATGAGAAAACGGAAGACAATATCATTGCAAATCAACAAACTGGTTTCGATCGCAACGTCTACCAGAAACCGACTTATCCTGTGCCAGGGTCGTTTCCAGGTCAGATTGATACCAAACAGTCTATTTCCCCTCCTAATCAGACCACATCTCCTTTGGCTGAGTTCTCGTTTGACTTGCCTGGCTCCTCTCAACCTGCGACAGCTGGTAGAATCGATAATCCTGCACAGGCCGCTTCCTATCGAGGAGTTTACGGCGGACAGGAGACTTTCGGCGCGGGAGGACCTGCAAGGGGTGCATACGGGGACATGCAGCCTCAAGATGCGTCTAGCTCACAATATCCGCCACCTCGTACTGCCAGTCGGAATGGGATGAAGCCGAGTATGGACACCGACGCCTCGAGACCTCCACTACCAAACAATGGCCAGCCCTATCGATCGTTTAGCCAGGATCAGTATCCCGTCCGACCACATACAAGCAATGCGCAACGACCACCGCAACAAAGTTACGAGATGATGAACCCATATGATCAGGATTATGCCCAAAAGAACCGAGCTCCTTCGGCACCAACTGTACCGGCAGGGTCCCTGACATCTGAGCATGGCTATGCTCACCCAGGACAGGCCCAACAGTATCAACAACCGTATGGACCAGGCCCACTAGTGCGCAGAGCGACCCAGGACAACCTCATTCACGGCCCTGCTAAGCCCAACGCTTCGAACTCTGCACATCCCGTACCCGTCAGGCACTATCCGACTCCAAATGCGGAGTTTAACCCGGACGCATTGCCAGCTCACCCTACTCCAGTGAGGCCAGGACTCAAAGACAGCAACGGCTACTCATCGGGTCAGACACCACCGGCTCAGCCGAACCAACAGGGATCGGCCTCAGGGCCTTCGTCATCTGTCACTGTTCAGGAGCTGAATAGCCTCCGCGAGATGTATCTCCGGAGTCCCAGCGACCATGCTCTCGGGTTGAAGCTTGCAAAGAAGATGGTGGAGGCGGCTAGGGTGCTTGCAGATGAGAACGGGACAGCCGACCAGAAGACCACACAGAAGAACCGCGAAAAGTACATCTTCGACGCACATAAACTGATCAAGAAACTGGTGGGAGCTAACTACCCAGACGCAATGTTCTATCTGGCCGATTGTTACGGACAAGGAATGCTGGGACTTGCTGTGGACGCGAAAGAGGCCTTTTCTCTCTACCAGTCGGCCGCCAAGCTCAATCATCCCCAGAGTGCATATCGAGTGGCTGTGTGCTGTGAACTGGGGACCGAAGAAGGTGGTGGGACCCGACGTGATCCTTTGAAAGCGATGCAATGGTACAAAAGAGCAGCAACACTCGGCGATACGCCAGCCATGTACAAGATGGGAATGATATTGTTGAAGGGTTTGCTTTCACAACAGAAGAATCCACGCGAAGCAGTGTCGTGGCTGAAGAGGGCTGCCGAACGGGCGGACAAGGACAATCCTCATGCGTTACATGAATTGGGCCTCCTTTACGAATCGGCCTCGTCCACGGACCATATCGTGCGCGATGAGAAATACGCCTTTCAACTGTTCCAGCAAGCTGCCGAACTGGGCTACAAATACTCGCAGTTCCGGCTTGGGTCGGCGTATGAGTATGGGTTGCTCGGTTGCCCGATCGATGCTCGTCAAAGCATTTCATGGTACACTCGAGCGGCGGCTCAAGGAGAGCATCAGTCAGAACTGGCGCTGAGTGGTTGGTACTTGACAGGGTCAGAACCGCTGCTTACACAAAGCGACATGGAGGCATTCTTGTGGGCACGGAAAGCCGCGAGTTCGGGCCTTGCCAAGGCAGAGTATGCAATGGGCTACTTCAGCGAGGTCGGCATCGGCACGGCGGTGGACATTGAAGAAGCCAAACGTTGGTACTATCGAGCAGCAGGTGAGTAGATACCTTCCGACCTCGAAGACATTGAGAACTAATTGATATACAGCACAAAACTTCACCAAGGCACGAGAACGACTCGAGGTCCTTAAGAGAGGTGGTCCCAAGCACCAAAAGACACGGATGTCGCGATCGAATGTCAACAAGCAGACTGACGGAGAGTGTGTGGTCATGTAGGGGGAGGAAGAAACAATCGTGACAAACACTTGACTTTTGGGACTGGGTTTTCCCCAGTTCTATCTCTCGCCCTTTGTTGTCCGGACTTGGGTGGTTGATGACCATTACAATCCATTCCGTCCACGCTTGCCTGGTAAGCAAGATGAATTCGGAACCCAGCTCCAGGTAGAAGTCTGTGCTTAAGGGGAACAAAATACCACGAGGGACCAGGGGGTGGAAAGACTGGACAAGAGAGAGATAGAGTGTGAGAGAGAGGAGGAAGAAGAAGACGACATCTGGAGCTATAAAAAAAAAAAAACAGAATCAATCCCCAGTCAATCAATATTGGAATGTGGTATGTCAAACCGTCAAAACGTTAAAAAATGTCCAGAGATATTAGCGCAATGCTATGCAATGCAACGCCCCCAATGCCCGAATTTGGGGAACGACGACGACGACAAAGGAAGTGTTGGTTTTTTTTTTGGTTGTGTGTGATTGATCTGTGTGTGGTCTCGACCCCTCGGAACGTTTCTATGTATGTTATGGAAAAGAAAACAAGCTGTTTAATTTCAATAACAGACGGATTTGCCTTGTATATCTTATATAACTACTTGACCTACATATCTTAGCTACCTATGGTGCGTCTGGTGCGCCTGTCTACCTACTAGTGTATTGGCGAGGGTACCTCTGTACCTATTATAGATAGGGTATTATTGTGATTGAATTGATCAGACGGAGAAGATTCAGATGGACAGCCCTTCTTTTTTTTTCTCACGTCAATGCTAGGTAAGGAGTTTAGATCCGGACTTCATCCACCCTGGCAAGCCTCTTCCTTGGACGTAGAGACAGGCTGTATCCGGTCTCTGGGGATCTTAGACAAAAACCCTCGCGAAATAGGTGCCCAAATCGGCCCCGTTGTCAAGAGCGGTTGCGAACCCGATGATGCTGTCTGGGCGGACGACGACCACGGCGCCGCTGCCCACGCTGACGCCGTACCTGGCGTGCGCGGTCGAGTCGGGGTCGTAGTACGCGTGGCCGAAGCGGGCCACGCCCAAGGCCTCGTCGGCCTGGGTCCTGTTCCCTACGATGACGGTCACGAGGCTCAGTTTGTCGAGATATCCGCGCATGCTGTCGCCATCGAGGTACGTCCTGAGATTCCGCACCTTCTCCCCGGTCAGGAGTGGCTCGCCTGCGAAGACGACGAGCGAGAACACACCCACGTTCTTCATCAGCGTGTGTAGCCTCGTGGGGATCCGGGCGCCGGGGCCGTGGACCGCGACATCGGGTGCGCGCCAGCCGCAGGGCACCGTGGTCGACTTTGTGGTCACGTTCAGCATGTTCGCCCCGTACCGGATGCCTAGGCCGATGTTGAACTGGACGTTTTCTTCTAGGACTCTGGCCAGTAGCGCATTCGGCTCTGTCGACGAGAGACCACCCGCGACGCCCAACTCTGGCGGGACGGTTCCGGATATCAGCGCGGAAAAGGTCTTGTCCAGACGGATCAAGTGCTGCGCGACAGGCCGCCGTTCGCTGTCGTACGTGTCCAGGATCGAGGCCTGGTACCAGCCCTTTAGCACCCCAGCCAGCTTCCACGCGAGGTTGAAGGCGTCGTGCACGCCCGTGTTCATGCCCTGCGCCGTCCCTGAGGAGTGGCTGTGGCAGGCGTCGCCGGCAAGGAGGATCCTGTCTTTGACAAAAGTATCTGCGAGGGAATGTCGCACGCTGTCATGAGAAGTCGGTTCTGGTCAGTGCGTTGTGGTTGCTAATCCAGTGCATCGCTCGTAAGCGAATAGAACAGTCCCTCCTTGGGTAGGGGAACAAGTTGGAGACTTGCAGGAACTCTTACTTGTATACTGTATACCAATCCACGCACTTGTATTCCCAGGAGAATGGCTTGACTGCCAGCTTAGCCTCGTCGACAGCTTGCTGCTGCGTCATGTTTTCGCCGTATTTCACTATCATATCCTGCGAAAGTGCGAATCCCACCCTCGTACGGCCGTGGTCTAGCGCTGCGCAAAACACGTTGCCGTGCGTGGGTGATTCGAGATTTGCAAAGCCTTCGCGAGAGTCTGGCATATCCGTCTCCACAACACCGTCGACGCGCACCCAGCGGAGGGTTGTGCTATCTGTGGCCGATGAGATACCGGCGAGGTGACGGACAGCAGAGTGGGCACCGTCAGCACCGACGAGGTAGTCTCTGAAGAAATTCAGTTCCCGCCGTCACATGATGGCCTCGTCCATATCGACACTCATCGGGAGCGGATGGGGAATAGAGGAGGCCGCTAACACTCACCCAGCAATTGTCCGGACTTCTGAAGTATCAACGTTCTTGGTTTCAACCTTTACTGGACAGGCGTGGCCGTTCTTATCCCCCTCGTGATCAGGCTGTGCGGTCAAGCTCATCAACTCCCATCCACTCGCAACAACTCCACCAAGTTCCTCGTACTCGGCCTTCAAAATGTCCTCTGAGTACTTCAAGCGGATGTTGAGCATGTAGTCCAGAAATGTATGTCCCTGCATGGCGTCAAAAACATGGCGCATACCCCGTGTGTTGTCTCGTCTCCCATCCTTGTCGTAGTTGACACCACTTCGCGACACGAATCCCACCTGATTTAGGCGCGTGAGAAGGTCATACTGGTCGAACATCTCCAATGTGCGGGGGAATAGTGTACATGCGCGGCCGTACATGGGCAGCTTCTGCTTTTCGAGTCGCTCTGTCTCCGTAGAGGTGTAAATGTTATGGTCAGCGGGGGAGAGGATGAGAACAGGGGCGTGGCAGACAGTAATCATGTCGCTCTTACCAACAACACAGGTCTTGATGTCCATGCGCTGTAGCCCGTAGGCTGTCAACAGGCCCACTGGCCCTCCACCACATATCACCACATCGTAGCGATCTCTGAAACCAGCCATAGTATCTTGTCGGAAAGCACACCGTCGATTTTGCCTGTGAAGTCTTGAGGGCAGTATAGATTAGTTGGCTCGAGATGTTCCGCCGCGGGGACTGGCAACAGACTTATAAAATTGTACCACCTTTTTAACTTGCTAATGTGCTCTGACAGGGGTGTCTGCTATGGTCTATTGACCTCATCCAAGGCTGCCACGACGCGACGGGAGGCCTTGTACAGCCCCGCGCTCTGGGCAAAGCTCACAAGCACACATGGCGTCGGTCAAGCAGGTGAATATTGTCACCAGGAGATCCGTCTCTGCCCTGGGGCGAGAGCTACTATAGGCCCGGATGGAGGAGGGCGTCTGCAGTGTGAGAACCTTTACGAGCCATCTTCATCGGAGCTTTGGCGGTGAGACAGAGGTTACGCATTGTAAGGGGTGTTCGAAAAGGAACTGGCTGCGGTCTTGCAGACCTTATGACTGATGATAGAATAATAGAATAGTCCGAGAGCAGAAGAAGGTGTGGGATTGAGTGCATTGGGCAATGTTGGTGGTGAGAAAGGAGATGAAGAACATAGAGGTAGCATCATTCACGTGCCGTGGCTGATGACATTTGGCAAATCATGATTGAATTTTGTTGCGCTGCAGATTCTCCTTTTCCACATCTGTACTCGGTACTCGTTACATACATGCACAATCACGCTATTAATAATTATAGATAAAGAGGTATTTCCCTCCAATTACGCTTTCTTTTCAGGCTTGCCCTTTTGCGCCTTGTTCTTGTTGTCCCCGGCATCCTCATAATCGCCTCCAGCTGCTTCGTATCGCCGCGCCAGTTCGCCGGCTTTCCAGGCAGACCATGACCCTTTGCCTCCACCTGATGATCAACCAACGGAACGTCAGCTATTCAGAGGACGCGAGAAAGGCAGCCAAGGATGGCGGAACAATGCCTGGGCGAAGATGGAACAGGACAAGCCCCATGGACACGAGGGTCACAAACCTTTCTCCATGTTCTTCACTTCCTCCTTGATCTTCTCCCGCAGTTCAGGGTCGGTTGGGTTCCCCTTGGAGCTGGGCATGGTCGTAATTTCCTGTCAGAAGACGAATCCAGATGTGAACTAATTGATCAATGCGCAATTGTTTGATGTATTTCGAGCAAGGTTATTAAAATGTTGGCTGCTCTGGTGGAAGAATAGAGGGTGATGGTGTGGGTATTATGTCTTGGAGCATCAACCGATTTTTGGAATTGACTCGATCGCTACCGGGGAGCGAAAAGACTGAACTTCCCCGATGTCGACGAGGACTGACTACTTCTGGGACTCGACGTTCTCGAACTCGTGCCAGACGTTGACGTGGTTGATATTGAACTTGTTCTTTCTTTGATCTGTCTGCTTCCTTCCTTCAATGACGGATCTGATGATGAGGCTTCAGAGGCTTTCCTTAGGATTTGGCGCAAGGCCTCCTGTGCAGACGAAGGGCTTTCGGCGGTACTCGTAGAGCGAAAAGTTGGAAAGCGGATCATGGTTGGGAAGAGAGCAGAGGGACTAATAATGGGGGAGATATTGTGTTAAGTCGTCGGGAGGGTTTGGCTTTGTGCTGAATGCAGGGTCGATGTCGTTATAGATCTGTCCTTGAGCTGGTTTTAAGACTAGGAATCGAATGTGGAATCAGGCTTATCTGGTGCCTCGATATTTGCGATATCCGATATGCGATGGGCGATCTGCAACCAGGTGGAGACTCGATTGCACGATGATAGCGAACAAAGGGATCGTAGGGCAAAAGGCAATCGAGGAGATGTATACGTCACTGAGTGATAAGTGTGCTGTTGATTGTGTGAGAGTTCGATCTGCGCCTTGGTGTCTCGGGTTGTGGCTGGCCTTGTGCTGCAGGCTCCTTTTCCCATGCAACAGCAAGAACGAGGCCTTGAATATGTTTCTTATGTGGCGTGGCTAAAAGGCAAAGGAAGAGAACAAGCTAGAAGCACAAAATTTGCCCCGGTCGAGGTTGAGGCTGAGTACTTGTACTTTATCCTAGGATGTTTCATGCTGGTGGTGCCTCTTCTCCTCGTGCCTCCACCTCCCCATTTTCCTTTCTGGACTCGATCCATCTCATCGGACCAGGGATCGCGATTGGAGAGGGCGAATCCGCATGCGCTAGCCGCCCAATCGGGGTTGGAGGATGATGATCTTTGCCTCAGCACGAAAGGACCAACAAGAAACCTGACGAAGCTGGCGGGGGATGGCAGCTGTTCCGGTTTGAAGCCTCGGGCTCTGGAGCAGCCATCCGGCCAAATCAAAGACACGCGAGACACGTTGGGGCGTTTCTGGCGCGTGCGGGATGACGGGTCCACAAAGTCACTTGACTGGCAAAAATCAAAGAGCCGACAATGGTGACCCCATGATTCTCTCCGCGATCGAGGAGGGTATTGCCTTGCAGGTTTTGCCAGGCACCATCAAGAGATCTCTTTGATCCGTGTCCGTCATGGGTCGATGGATTGGGTCATTGTCGATGAGACGAAGCGAGGGGCAAACAAAGCACCGGGTGGCTGGTGGTGGCACTCAAGTACCAAAAGAAATAAACGATGATGACCGAAAATGACCTCATCTGTGCGCAGCCTCATGTCCCACCTTCCGCCAATGACAAGTGACGAGGCTGAACACAATCAGTGTCAGGTCCGAGGCTTTTCCTGAATACAGCGTATCGGGTGCATCAGAGTGGTTTCTAACTTGTACAGGTAGACTGTTCCTGACTCTTGAGACATTTGACCAGAAAAGACTCTGAAACAGACTGTGGCAATAGCCAATGCTGGCAGCACCAGGCGATGTACCTCTTCGCATCGAGTGGTGACAAGTGGCTGTGTAAAACATGGCCCGTGATTGGTGGTGGCGCTGGGACCGGGACACGTATCGAATCTCCTTGCACAAGCATCGCACGAATGGGCTGGGTGTTTGGACGAGATCCGTCTCTATGCGATGCGAAAACGAGGTCCACGCCCGCACTGTCGAGCACGCATCCTCCCTACCCGCTCACTCTTTAATGCCATAGCTTTATCGCTTCTCGTCTGTAGCAATGTTGCTCGTTGCAGTGTATACAAGGTACTCGACACTCTTGACCGGATTCCGATGCTTTTATTGTTCCGGTATGTGTGATAAGATGAAATGTCTAAGCTGCCCTGTCCAACCACGAACCCACCAAACCAGAGCCCAAGATCTGCTACAGATCTGAGGCCTGATACTTGAGATGAACGTTTGTCAGTAAAAGAGAGATCGAAACCACAGACTTGGTAGAACCAGTAACAATAGTCACATCCCCCCTGTGGAGGAAGCTCAGAAGCACTCGAATTCTGCGCTGGGAGCAAGCATTGCCTTAGCACAGTAGGTTCAGCTCAATCCCTGGCAACTCACTTCCGCCCATTCCCCACAGACCTGTATACCTCGTTCCCCTCGATTACAACTTTGCTTCCACGCTCTTCTCCACACTCTTTACCGAGCCCTCAACCTCCTTCTCCATCTCCTTCAAGGCTTCGGTGGTGCTGCCCTTTTGCGAAGCCTGATACATCAAGATACGGCTGACCTGGATGGTACCAACAAGGAAGAGACAGAAGTTGACAGCAGCAAGTCTGTTGAGTTGATATAGTGTCAGTATTGCCGATTCACAGACTGTACACATAGAATCATGCACATTGTAGAAGTCCCATGGATAAGCGGGAGAAAGTCAAAACTCACAGCAAGTTCTTCGGTCGAATGATAAAGCACCATCTCGTCCAGATGGAGCCTGTGGCCATGAGAGCCAAGTTTTGTGTCAATGACAGTTTCTCGGCTGGGCGGAGGAAGTCTGATGCGCCTGCAAGGACGACACCCCATTTCATGATAGGAGCCCTAGAACAGCGACCCGCGTTAGCATCCGTGTATTTCGTTGTCCAGCCGAACTACCACACATTTCCAGGTATTCAAAACGCAGGAAAGCAATCTTTGTACGAAAGTGCTGGAGTCCTACCAAAAATGCACTGTCTTTATGCCGACCTCACTGGTCCAAAGTCTCTGAAACAGAGATTGCTGCGGCGCACCCTCAACGGCCGGGTTCGCCGCAGTGCCTTGCCATCGTCGAAATACGGGGTTTCTCAGCTGGAAAGGTGCACGGGAAGTGAAGGAAGTCGTGGATTGTCTGGCGGTTTGCTGCGCAAAGCGCAGTCCGAAGCGGGCGACCATTGCGAGGATAATTGGGTGCGCGTGCTGCTACACGGGGCGAGCTTTGACCCTGGCAGTACTGCTGGCGATAGTGACACGGAGTCTAGCGACGGAGGATGGTAGTAAAGGAGTGGAGATTGTCGCACTTGTAGGAGTCGATATCAAAAGGATGAAGTGAAGAGAAGTGAGTCAATCGAATTGCTGGGGTTTCGGAGGATGAGGAGAAAGTCAGATCTCCGGCAAATCGTTTTCACAATCTCCGTTCTCGCTCAACACCGAAGTCCGTGTCTGACATAATAAAACCAGCATTACCTTGAATTCCATAGCTTGGAAACAATTTCTGTCAGACTGAAAGATTTCTGTCTTTCGATACCGCCAAGGTCCTAATTCGTGCTCTGAACCAGCACTCACCAAACGTCGAACCTCATGCGCCAGCTGCTCCCTCCATACGCACAGTTGACACTCGGCTAGATCTGGGGTGCCCGCGATGGCGACCAAATATGCCTTTACCCAAGGCTTGAGGGAGTTGAGATTTCACCTGAGCAATTCGGGCCAGGGAAGCGATGCCTGCAGGTGCGTACCATAAGCCGCAGCAGCATTCAAGACTGCTTCAAACGGCATGCTGAACTGCGATTTAGATCCTTCCTCAAGCGAGCATACCCTACCATGAAGCACCACAATCCCAATACTCCTATCTTAATACGCGAAGCTACGGGCGTTGAACCAAAGGTGTGGGCAAGATACGGTATGAACTCTGGATCATGACACACTGGCACTGCAGAGGAGGCTGATCGCTTTGATGATACAGGGTTCGGAAGAGAGAAGTCAGAGTCATTATCAGGTGAGTTCCCTGCAGCAGAGAGAGCTAGCGACTGGTTTCTTACACATGTGGCAGGTCTTTCGGACAAGGAAATAGAGGACAAAGTCACGACCTTGGTCAAGAGCGAATAAGCCATGTGAACGAGCTTGGGTCAGCCCTAGCTCGATCAACAGGGAATGTATAACACCCAGTCTACTTGGACATGGAGGAAAGCTATCGACCAGGCTCGGCTGCGCCGGATAGAAGAACAGTCTGGCAAAGAATATTACTTGATTGTACATACGACTGAATGTCAACAGCCAAACCAGAAAAAAAATACAACTTTTGCACCGGCTCTATAATTTCAAGCTTCGACTTCTCCAAATCTGAATTGAGCCCAACCCATGCTCGCCTCCTGCATTGTCCACAGTTGCTTTCCCTGATCCGTTCCGCTGGCACCCACGGCGATATGAATCGGCAAAAGATGCTCAAAGGTCGGATGGGCCTGTCTCGCATCGTCCCTCTCCAACAATTCATTCATTGTTTCGTCCCTGTGCTCTCCCGGCTTTGTCTCCACCGCAACCTTCAAGGCTTCGTCAAACGTCACCGCATAGGGCATGGTTCTATTCGAACCCCTGCCCATCATCATGAGGTGTCGCAGATTGTGCACACTCATGCCCGAGCAAATGATGAGGACATTCTCCTCTCGTAGTTTCTGGACCGCCCGCCCGAGTCTGATGTGCGCGGCCGCGTCGGTGTGGTCTTCGAAGAGACTGACTTGCACGATTGGCACCGTCACGGGGTTCGTGTCGGGATTGAACATGACTTTGAAGGGGACGAAGACGCCGTGATCCAGCCCCCTCTCGGCCTTTTGCGTCTTGATCCCATGCTCGCCGAGGGCGTCTATGACCTGTTGAGCCAGCTTCGCCGAGCCTTTGTTGGGGAACTTCTCCTGGTAGTAACTGCGAGGGAACCCGTAAAAGTCGTAGAGCAACGGCTCGTCTTCGGCGACATTGACCTCGATCGTGTTAGGCCGGTCGGCTTGCCAGTGCGCGGAGAAGACCACGATGGCCGAGGGCTTCACCTGCTGTGTGATTTCGCGGCCAATTCGCTGCAATTGTGGGTAGACGGGGTGTTCGGTGTTGAACATGGTGTCCGGGCCCTAAGCCAAGGTTGGTCAGCAAACAGACAACCCAGCAAAAGAGGTCTCCCAGACAGCGAGGGAAGCATCAGAAGAGGGGACTTACGCCATGGGAGACAAAGTATACGGGCGTCCGTTTGGCCATTTCTCCTCTTGCAGCACCGGAGAAGGATCTGGTCAAGACCGAGAGTGATCTGAACGGGCTGAAGATGCGCGCGGCCGCGGCAGCCACTTTGTTGTCACTACTGTCGCTGTCTAATGGTGTCCACAGAGACCACAGAGTGTTGGACTGCGCAATGGCTCCCGCAAGGACCAGGATGAGTATCGATATAGCAAATGTGACTGTCGCAACCCTCCTGGTGGTGGTAAAGCGCGTGTTAGTTGGAAGCATTCATTCAAAGGCCGAAACGGGACCTGCGATTTCTCTTTCCAGTTCCTCGATTGATGTTGTGCAAAAGCTTTATAGACTTGGTTTCCTCTCGATTATGATTCCTGGATCTACGCCCCTCTATAATATACCACAACGTGCTCGGAACGAGGCCCTTACGGCAATGGATGCAGGGCTTGTGCTGAGTGGAATCAAACATTATCTAAGCGGTTCGCTGGAAGAGCGGAACGTCTCCGTTTTGGCTTTGGTAATGATACAAAACTCTACTCGGTACATGCCAGTACCTTGAAGACATATGCAGCAGTATTACTGGTAATACCTAGTATAATCATCTAGGATATCAGCATGCTGAGCCACTTCCTTTTCGGCCGATAAAATGAGCGTATTCTGTCTGGCTTCTCAAGTAAAGGAGGTTTCCCCGGTCCAGCCTTGTCCAATCCAGGATTCAAGCAAGCGGCCTTTCCCCCCTTTTCCTTTCGTGTAACGAATACTCGTATCATTCAGTCGTCACTTTTAATGGTCTGTGCACCATCACTCCGGGCACTCTCTTGCAACCAGCTAGGCCAGCCTCTTATGAATGGCACAAAGTTGAATCGGGCTGGAAGAATAAGCTGATCGCCTTCACATTTGAGCACTTGCGAGACAACCGCTTCTGCTACTGTGCCTGGTTCCAGCACCACCTGATCCGAAGCCATATTCTTAACTAAGTTGCGGGCAAGAGGGGTCCGTACCCATACGGGATGCACAATCCTACGCGTCATGGTCAGTAATGACTCGAATGGAGGCAGAGTCGACCTACGTTGTGCGGACTTTATTCGCACCATATCTCGCCCTGAGTTCCTGCGACAACCCCTCGTGGAAGGCAAGTACTGCTGCCTTGGTCGCGGCGTAGCTGGTGACGCCAGCCCATGTCGCAAAGCTCGACATGCTGGCAATTGTGACCACATGACCATGATTTTTCTCGATCATGTCCGGCAAGAACTCCTTGACCATCTTGAAATGGGCCAGGATGTTGACGTCGAAGGTGCGTTGGAGCTGCTCCTCTGTTTCGTCGAGAATGGTTCTCGCATTGGCAACACCAGCATTGTTGATGAGCACTGTCGGGTCTCCAATGTCCTTGCGGACTCTCGCCGCAACGTCCCGAATATCTTGGGATGAAGTAACATCAGTCTTGTAGAATGTGGCACCGGGCGGTAGTGGCGTCTGAGGAGGATTAACATCAAAAACCACGACTTTGATGTTCCGTTCGCCAAACTGTCGAACCATCTCCTGCCCGATTCCAGAGGAGCCGCCACTGATCATGACAATCTCGCGGTCCCAGTTCCATGTCGTGTCTTTGACAAAGTTATTGAGCACTAGCCGGCTGAGGTATCTGTTCAACCTATACAGGACACTAAATGTAAGAAGTCCCCCGAGGGTTCGATTAACGACCTTGGGCTGAAGTGCAGCCGTTCCAATGGCCGAAAGAGCTCTTTGGAAACCCTTGGTGTATCTCAGGTGTAGCAGAAGAAGGGCAGCGGGGACGATTGGTTGCAGTAAAACATAATGGACGGGTCTAAAGAGGTATTCGAGAGTAATGCCTTCTCTCGGCGGTTGTAGAACTGACATAACGGACGCTTGGAGCAACTAGAACGGTTTTCTGGGGAGGCCTCGTAGATGACATTAACTCGAGTTGAGCAGAAATTGATTGCTGCCGGAGAGCCTCCGCCTGAGTGTGCCATACTCGTCGACTTTGCTCCATGTCATCTCTATTTCCCTACCAGTGGTGTCAGGGCATGCGACAGGGGTTTGTCGGTAGGCCTGATGAGCTGAGAAAGGGGATGGAGTTGTGGATGTTGATTGTCTTGGGGCAAATTTACTAGCGCAGTTTTGGGGGCAGGCGAAGGGGGGTGAGAAATGACGGTTCCTTGCTTGCCTGCCACTACTAACTGCCTGCGTGCCTCCCTGCGCCGGCGCAGTCACGGTTTGTCAGAGGAGGCCAATGGCCCGTGACCGAACACCGCACCTCACTGTCGCAGGTAAAAAAGGCTCCCTCTTTCAAAGCAGACCACTTCACCCTGTGCGCCGTATCGATTACGCTGCTTCAATCGAGTGCCCAATTTCGTCTTTGTCGATACTGTCTCTCTTCGAACCATGGGGCGCACCATTGACCAGGATGTGCATGCGGCATTCGTCGAGTTCAAGGCCAAAGGTACGTACGTAGTATTGTCACCTTCAGTATTGACTGTACTATACCTTTTGTACGCGTATCACGATACAACATACTGTACTGTGACGATAGACGAGAGGAGCAGCTGACTGATTCGTGTCTCCACACAGAGGACGATAAATGCATGTCTGTCCAATGCATCTATTGTCAACAGATCCGTGCAAAGAACACTTCGCGCCAGAAGCAACATCTGCTCGAGTGTCCTGGCCTGCAAAACCATCCCAATGCCGGTCGTCCACAATCGTCTCCTGGCGATGCCATCAGCGCTCCCAATGGATACAGCACTCCCTCCATCTCCCACAATGCGACTACCCCCATGAACAATGGCCTCACTACCAACGGCACTCCCATGCAAGGAATGTCCAATGGCTCGACCATCCCGCCGCCTCCCGCCTCTACCACCCCTAGCCAACGTCACACCCCAAAGCCCACAAAGGCTCCCAAGACCACTCCTGGCTCCAGCCTCCCCGCGCCACCTCTCGATGATGTCCATGCTGCTTTTGTCGAGTTCAGAGCCAAAGAGGAGGACAAGTGTTTGTCGGTACAATGCATCTATTGCAACCAGATCAGGGCCAAGAACACATCGAGACAACGCCAGCACCTCCTTGAGTGCACAACATATCAGAATGTCATGAAGGAGTCAATACCTGCAAACAACCTTCTTCACAGATTTGATGAAGGTGATGTGGCCCGTTCGCTCCAGCTACCCACCCCAACCCTTGAACTTGACTTCCGCATGAGCATCAAGGTCAATCCTAAGATTGGCGTTGGGTCAGGCCTGTTCGGTCAGCGCGACTGGGTCAGCATTGTTGGGGGACAATGGGCTGGACGATGGGGCAAAGGTATTGTCATTGTACGTCGCATCCTGTCAATACCCCATAATCATTCATCAACTGACCCTGCCTCTAGCCTGGTGGTCAAGACAATCAGCTAGTCGTCAAGGACCTTTCTGCCCGCAGCGATGCCAGCTATCTGCTCCAGACCAATGATGACCCTCCAGCCTACATCACAGCAAGGTCCAAGGGTTGGCGAACAGGTGCCAAAGATATTCTCGAACGACTCAACGACCCCACGGTGGCAGACACCATTCCGGCCAACCAATACAAGTTCCGCATCACCGTTGAGCTCGAGACTGGCGATGAGAGATACGCGTTTCTGAACACCTGTCTTTGGGTGGGAAGTGGAACTCGGAGAGTTGGTGAGAGTAAGTCGTGCCTTGGCCGGAGGATAGTTCATCCTGCTAACGCCCGGGCAGTCATCTATGATGCGTATAGGGTCGGCTAGAGTCCTGAGCCTGAAGAACTTTCTCCCACCGAAGCTTCATTGTTATATTTCGAGGAACTGCTATGGGCCTACGAAGAGAGCGTAGGGGTGGCCATGATTGGATGCGGACCTCGGACATATTTGTGAATTC